TTTACAGATTTACTTTGAACGCATGGTGTGTCACGATAGTTCTCGTGCATGTCATAGGTAGGGTCACCGTACTTCAAGGGCACACTTCTCTGAGAGAGCGACCCCGTGGGAACTCTCGTTGTAAGAGATCCCAGCGTTCATTGTTTGCACTGTTGGTTGGTTGGTTTGTTGTTTAACGCCGCACTCAGCAATATTCCAGCTATATGACGGCGGTCTGTAAATAATCGAGCCTGGACCAGACAATCCTGTGATTGACATCATGAACATCGATCCACGCAATTGGGATCGATGACAAGCATCAACCAAGTCAGCGAGCCTGACCACCCGATCCCGTTGGTCGCCTTTTACGACAAGCATAGTCGCCTTTGTTTGCACTGCTTGCGTTCAGAGGCGTGTAAATTGGCTCGGTGGTGAGGCTGTCTCGATAGAGGGATCGCTCCTCATGATTTCGGCCACAGGTTGTGTATACCCGCCATAATATGTTCAGGGACTGGATTCGAACCTCGGACCTTCGGATGCCGTGGTCGAACGCCTTCTCCACGAAGTAAAAGGGGTGATTCCTGGAGCCAGCTGAAAAGGTAGTGGTGGAATCTTTAGGATGACCTCACGCTGCAACAGTACAGCTGGAATATTGCTGACTGCGGCGTTTAACGACATTCACTCACTCATACAGACGCCGAGAATACACTGATGAGAGGAGTACCTCACTATGTATATGAACGTGATGCAACTAACCAGTTCCTTCAAAGTACCAAGCAATACTGTGACCGTGATGGTTCAAAGCATTTCATTTCGATTACGTAATAATGAGTTTTTTAACCATTTTTAACCGTAATTAACAAATTGGTACTGCGCGGTCAGCTTAATTAGACAAAGACAAACGGGAATCAGTCGTATAACTTTCCTTTCTGTGAAACCCACGCTAAAAAGAATAGTCCCGACAGGCCATTGTCGGAAAGAACCTTCGATACGAACCAAGGACAAGCCTATCTTGAAAAGGCCAAAGGACACAATATTTCTTCTAATTAGGACCTTAGACAAAAAGTTGCGCGACACCTGCCATGTTCACCATTAGGTTTGAGACCTGTGGGCTGGCCCAATATCTAAATAGAAAACACAATATGTTGATGGACATTTCATTGTGTTTATTATTGACAAACTTGGTCCGTGACTTATGTACGCCCGAGATAGTCGTGGCTGGTAAGCTGACGAGCCTCCTTTCACGAGGTTAAACCATCTCAACCGACTCAACCATCCTCCTCATGACTCCAGTGATGGGACAGTGTTGGCATCCATGTTGGTTTGTTGTTTAACGCAGCAATAGTTCAGCTAAATGACGGCTGTCTGTAAATAATCGAGTCCGGACCAGACAATACAGTGATTGTTATCATGAGCATCGATCTACGCAATTGGGGTACCATGACCTTTATCAACCAAGTCAGCGAGCCTGAATTCCCAATCCCGTTAGTCTCTTACGACAAACATTGTCGTCTCCTACCGCGAGTATGGGTTGCTGAAGATCAATTCTAACCCGGATCTTCACAGGTTTGTTGTCCATGTAGACGGGTCTGTTACCCAGAGGGTGGTTATCAAAATGTGGAACAACGATCGGACCCAGGATCTGACACCTGTACCTGTCATTTGTCAGAGTCCCCTGCACACTGCCCACGTTCTGCATTAAATCATGGGATAGGCAGTAACACATTACAACCGATTCTTTACCCAAAGGAACTGTGTGACGTATGTTCCGGGACGTGTATCTGCCGTGTATCTGCCGTGTATCTTTCTCACCAGATCCAAATACGCTTGTCTGTGACACGAAGCAGGAACCACCTCTCATCCGACCAGTGGAACTTCCTCTATCCTCTATGTCCCCAGCTTCCTCCATGTTCCTCCATGCCCCCAGCTTCCTCCATGTTCCTCCATACCCCCAGCTTCCTCCATGTTCCTCCATGTCCCCAGCTTCCTCCATGTTCCTCCATGTCCCCAGCTTCCTCCATGTTCCTCCATGTCCCCAGCTTCCTCCATGTTCCTCCATACCCCCAGCTTCCTCCATGTTCCTCCATGTCCCCAGCTTCCTCCATGTTACTCCATGTCCCCAGCTTCCTCCATGTTCCTCCATGCCTTCAGGTTTTTCCGTGTCCCCAGGTTCCTCCAGGTTCCTCCAGGTTCCCAGGTTCCTCCAGGTTCCTCCATGTTCCCAGCTTCCTCCAGGTTCCTCAATGTCACCAGCATCCTCCTTGTTCCTCCATGTCCACAGCTTCCTCCATGTTCCTCCATGTCCCCAGCTTCCTCCATGTTCCTCAATGTCCCCAGCTTCCTCCATGTTCCTCCATGTCTTCAGGTTTTTCCGTGTCCCCAGCTTCCTCCAGGTTCTCAGCTTCCTCCAGGTTCCTCCATGTTCCCAGCTTCCTCCAGGTTCCTCAATGTTCCTCAATGTCACCAGCTTCCTCCACGTTTATCCATGTCTTCAGGTTTTTGCGTGTCCCCAGGTTCCTCCAGGTTCCTCCAGGTTCCTCAATGTTCCCAGCTTCCTCCAGGTTCCCAGCTTCCTCCACGTTCCTCAATCTCACCAGCTTCCTCCATGTTCCTCCATGTCCCCAGCTTCCTCCATGTTCCTCCATGTCCCCAGCTTCCTCCATGTTCCTCCTTTTTTCAGGTTTTTCCGTGTCCCCAGCTTCCTCCATGTTTCTCCAGGTTCTCAGTTTCCTCCAGGTTCTCAGCTTCCTCCAGGTTCCTCCATGTTCCCAGCTTCCTCCAGGTTTCTCAATGTCACCAGCTTCCTCCATGTTCCTCCATGTCCCCAGCTTCCTCCATGTTCCTCCATGTCTTCAAGATTTTCCGTGTCCCCAGCTTCCTCCAGGTTCCTCCAGGTTCCCAGGTTCCTCAAGGTTCCCAGGTTCCTCCAGGTTCCCCCATGTTCCCAGCTTCCTCCAGGTTCCTCAATGTCACCAGCTTACTCCATGTTCCTCCATGTCACCAGCTTCCTCCATGTTCCTCCATGTCCCCAGCTTCCTCCATGCTCCTCCATGTCTTCAGGTTTTTCCGTGTCCCCAGCTTCCTCATGGTTCCTCCATGTTCCCAGCTTCCTCCAGGTTCCTCCATGTTCCTCAATGTCACCAGCTTCCTCCAGGTTCCTCCATGTTCCTCAATATAACCAGCTTCCTCCAGGTTTCTCCATGTCTTCAGGTTTCTCCATGTCCCCAGCTTCCTCCAGGTTCCTCCAGGTTCTCAGCTTCCTCCAGGTTCCTCCAGGTTCTCAGCTTCCTCCAGGTTCCTCCAGGTTCTCAGCTTCCTCCAGGTTCCTCCAGGTTCTCAGCTTCCTCCAGGTTCCTCCATGTTCCCAGCTTCCTCCAGGTTCCTCAATGTCACCAGCTTCCTCCATGTTCCTCCATGTCCCCAGCTTCCTCCATGTTCCTCCATGTCTTCAGGTTTTTCCGTGTCACCAGCTTCCTCCAGGTTCCTCCAGGTTCCCAGCTTCCTCCAGGTTCCTCCAGGTTCCCAGGTTCCTCCAGGTTTTTCCGTGTCCCCAGCTTCCTCATGGTTCCTCCATGTTCCCAGCTTCCTCCAGGTTCCTCCATGTTCCTCAATGTCACCAGCTTCCTCCAGGTTCCTCCATGTTCCTCAATATAACCAGCTTCCTCCAGGTTTCTCCATGTCTTCAGGTTTCTCCATGTCCCCAGCTTCCTCCAGGTTCCTCCAGGTTCTCAGCTTCCTCCAGGTTCCTCCAGGTTCTCAGCTTCCTCCAGGTTCCTCCATGTTCCCAGCTTCCTCCAGGTTCCTCCAGGTTCTCAGCTTCCTCCAGGTTCCTCCATGTTCCCAGCTTCCTCCAGGTTCCTCAATGTCACCAGCTTCCTCCATGTTCCTCCATGTCCCCAGCTTCCTCCATGTTCCTCCATGTCTTCAGGTTTTTCCGTGTCACCAGCTTCCTCCAGGTTCCTCCAGGTTCCCAGCTTCCTCCAGGTTCCTCCAGGTTCCCAGGTTCCTCCAGGTTCCTCCATGTTCCCAGCTTCCTCCAGGTTCCTCAATGTCACCAGCTTCCTCCAGGTTCCTCAATGTCACCAGCTTCCTCTAGGTTCCTCCATGTTCCCAGCTTCCTCCAGGTTCTTCAATGTCACCAGCTTCCTCCATGTTCCTCAATGTCACCAGCTTCCTCTAGGTTCCTCCATGTTCCCAGCTTCCTCCAGGTTCTTCAAGGGCCCCAGCTTCCTCAATGTCCTCAGCTTCCTCCATGTCCTCAGCTTCCTCCATGTTCCTCAATGTCACCAGCTTCCTCCATGTTTATCCATGTCCTCATGTTCCTCCATGTCCTCTTGTACCTCCATGTTCCTCCATGTTCCTCAGGATCCTCCATGTCCTCAGGATCATCCATGTTCCTCTATGTCCTCAGGTTCCTCCATGTTCCTCTTTGTCCTCATGTCCCTCCATGACGTCATGTTCCTCCATGCTGCCCCATGTCTTCATATCCCACCATGACCTCATGTTACTCCATGTCCTCAGGATCCTCCATGTTCCTCCATGTCCTCAGGTTCCTCCATGTCCTGAGGTTCCTCCATGTCCTGAGGTTCCTCCATGTCCTGAGGTTCCTCCATGTCCTGAGGTTCCTCCATGTCCTCAGGTTCCTCCATGTTCCTCCATGGCCTCAGGTTCCTCCATGGCCTCAGGTTCCTCCATGGCCTCAGGTTCCTCCATGGCCTCAGCTTCCTCCATAGCCTCAGGTTCCTCCATAGCCTCAGGTTCCTCCATGTTCTCAGGTTCCTGAATGGTCCCCCATGTTCCTCCATGTCCTCAGGTTCCTCAATGGCCTCATGTTCATCCATGGCCTCATGTTCCTCCATGGCCTCATGTTCCTCCATGTCCTCATATTCCTCCATGTCACCAGCTTCCTCCATGTCCACAGCTTCCTCCATGTTTCTCCATGTCCTCAGCTTCCTCCATGTTCGCATGTTCCTCCATGTTCTCAGCTTCCTCCATGTTCCTCCATAGCCTCATGTTCCTCCATGTCCTCAGCTTCCTTCATGGCCTCATGTTACTCCATGTTCCTCCATGTCCCCATGTTCCTCCATGTCCCCAGGTTCCTCCATGTCCCCAGGTTCCTTCATGTCCCCAGGTTCCTCCATGTCCTCAGCTTCCTTCATGTTCCTCCATGTCCTCAGCTTCCTTCATGTTCCTCCATGTCCTCAGCTTCCTCCATGTTAACACCTTCCTTCATGTTCCTCAATGTGCTCAGGATCCTCCATGTTCCTCCATGTCCTCAGGATCCTCCATGTTCCTGCATGTCCTCAGGATCCTCCATGTCCTCAGGATCCTCCATGTCCTCAGCTTCCTTCATGTTCCTCCATGTCCTCAGCTTCCTCCATGTCCTCGGCTTCCTCCATGTCCTCAGCTTCCTCCATGTCCTCAGCTTCCTCCATGTTCCTCCATGTCCTCAGCTTCCTCCATGTTCCTCCATGTCCTCAGCTTCCTCCATGTTTCTCAATGGCCTCAGGTTCCTTCATGTTCCTCCATGTCCCTCCATGTTAACAGCTTCCTCCATGTTCCTCCATGCCCTCAGGATCCTTCATGCCCTCAGGATCCTCCATGTCCCTCCATGGCCTCACGTTCCCCCATGTTCCTCCATGTTCCTCCATGTCCCTCCATGTTCCAAGCTTCCTCCATGTCTGTGACAATCTGCTTATAACGGCATGATAGTGACCCTGCTGACGACCAACAGCCCCCTTGGACATTCCTGCATTCCTGCCTATTTGTCGCCACCTTTCGCTGTCAGATAATCTCTTACGAGGCATGTTGAACAACAATAATTAAGACGACAGTTCAAAATAATTACACATTGTGAATGGACTTAGAGCTTTTAGCAAGTCGCAAGTGGCGTGTTGCACGTGCAAATGCATGTGCTTTACGACTTAGACCCGCAAGCAACAATCTCAACTCAGCTGTTCGTGTTATCGCCAAAATGATTTTACCAATTACAATCTCGGTCGCGCGACAGTGATTAACTTCTTCAGGGGGTGTTGCGCAGTTGAACTAAATACTTTTTGAGCGTGGTTTAACTTAAATAATGGCTTATCTAAATTTGAATGACTAACCAGTTTTAATAGTGAGTGAGTGAGTGAGTTGGGTTTAACGCCGCTTTTAACAGTATTCCAGTTATATCACGGCGTGTCAGCTTAATGTGGGAGGAAAGCCCGAAGTGATGCAGGTCTCAGACGTTTAACACTTCGGTGAAACCCACGAGCACGGGTATGGTGCTGACAAACCTAGAAACATAATCGTGGCGAACCGGGATTCGAACCCACAATCATAGGTTTCTGGCGTGCCCAAGGGACGCAACTCTGCACAGCGAATTGCGGCGCCTTAGACGACTTGGCCACCCGTGCCCCTCAGTTTTAATAACAAGGAACTTAACGTGATAACCTATTAAATAAACTACGGTTGGTTGTTGGTTGGTTTGTTGTTTAACGCCGCACTCAGCAATATTCCAGCTATATGACGGCGGTCTGTAAATAATCGAGTCTGGACCAGACAGTCCAGTGATTAAGATCATGAGCATCGATCCACGCAATTTGGATTGATGACATGCATCAACCAAGTCAGCGAGCCTGACCACCCGATCCCGTTAGTCGCCTTTTAGGGCAAGCATGGGTTGCTGAAGACCAATTCTACCCCGGATCTTCACGGGTCAAATAAACTCTGGAAGATCTGAGAGGAACTAATTGTTACTAGTATTCTCCTAATTATGTGACAAAATGATGACTAAACTTGAAATGAAAGAAACTAAATATATACTGAACCGGAAAAGAAACGTCACCATGGATAGACATATGAAAAACCTTTGTCCAAACACTGTACTTTGAGACCTTGAAACATACTTTGAGACATATTAAAAAGATGAAACTTGGCAAAACTGATCATCAAGGTAGAAATTAAAGTGTCAAATGTTCTTAAAGTGAAACACAAAACTAGTCTCTGAGAAAATGGCATCACAAATCAGTATCTCGTGTGTCCGCCATGTGCATTGATGACTGTCGTGCAACGTCGATACATGGAATGGATGATGCGGTTGATGAAGGCCATAGGCACTTAAGCCCACACTCTGAGGAACGCCTGACGCAGTTCAACTGCAGTGGTCGGCCTTGGTCGGACGTCTTTCAGCCGTATTTGAATCTCGTCCCACAGGTGCTCATTGGGATTTAATTCGGGACTGAGGGCAGGCCACTGCAGGGTTCTGTTGCCATTCTGCTTGAGGAAGTCTCGTGTTGCTCTCGCACTGTGGGCACGGGCGTTAACATGCTGAAACTCGTGGTTGCGGCGACGTGCAAAATGAGGTATAGCGTGTGGTCTCAAAAACATGATCAATGTACCGAGCTGCTGTGACACCATTGCTTCTCCTTGGATCGATGTTCTTGAAGATCATAGAGCCGACCCTCTGTGCAAGACCAAATCCACCCGACACCATGATGCTTGGACCACCCCACGAGTCTCTCTCAATAACACAAGCATTGTTACAATAACATTTTTACCCACGGCGTCGCCAGACTCTCTCTCTCTCTCTCTGCCATCTACTGTTGAGATACAGTAACGGCTCTCGTCTGAGAAGAGGACTCTTCTCCATGGCTGGTGGCGCCAATGCTGGTGCTGTGTTGTCCACTGAGTGAGTGAGTGAGTGGGGTTTAACGCCGCTTTTAACAGTATTCCAGTAATATCACGGCGTGTCAGCTTAATGTGGGGGGAAATCCCGAGGTGATGCAGGTCTCAGACGTTTACCACTTCGGTGAAACCCACGAGCACGGGTATGGTGCTGACAAACCTAGAAACATAATCGGGGCGAACCGGGATTCGAACCCACAATCACAGGTTTCTGGCGTGCCCAAGGGACGCAACTCTGCACAGCGAATCGCGGCGCCTTAGACGACTAGACGACTGGGCCACCCGTGCCCCCTGTTGTCCACTGAAGACGGTCCCGGCGATGACGTGGTGTCAGAATGGATCCTCGGTGTGGCCTGTGACAGCAGAGGTGTCTGCTCATCAATCGTCGATGCACGGTGACCGCACTAATTTGTCGCTGGTGTGTCCTCGTGGTCTGTCGAGCATTTCCGCAGCAGTAACAAAGCGATCTTGAAGATGCTGTCGCACAATCTGACGATACTGACGTCGGGTGGTGACCCTTGGTCTTCCACCGCGTGGTCGGTCATCTGTCGTGTTGGTGGTCTGGTACCGTTGCTGGAGCCTGTATATGGTCCTTACGTGGACTTGAAATGCATTGGCTACTTGCCGGGTGGTTTGTCCAGCTTGCAATCGTCCAAGGGCTTGGTGTCGCTGATTTCTTGTCAATCGTGGCATGTGGTAGCGATTCAGCAACGAATGAATGTTATCCGATCTGGTTGGATTTTTATAGGGCAAGAAATGGGGGAACGCATGTGCATTTCAATTTGCACGTGTTACCATGGCCGTTGCCGTGATGCGTTTGGGCTATCGGTTTTATTGTCATCTGCTTTGTTTTTTTAATCATCAAATTTCATTTTTCCGGACAAGGTAAAGTTAAATTTTAGAAATCTTGACAAACATTACTCAGATATTTAAATATTTAACTTTTCATGCAATGTTACTTGGGGTGACGTTTCTTTTGCGATTCAGTACATTATACCAATACTAATATAATTGTAGTGATTGGTGCTTCCACACTCGTACATTGGGTTACATCGGATTGGCCACCCGATGTTACTCGTATGTTTCCGGGTGTGATCGAGACACGTGATCAACTTACCCGCCAAATCTGACAGGTAACAATTGACAGATTGAGACTGGACAGCAAAGACAACGGACGAAATGAACCGAAGCTAACGATCTCGATCTCCCCATCATCACGCTTACGCTGTAAGATAAGCACCTTTTCCATATCACTAGGCTTTCACAACAATGGCGCTGTGAACAGGATAAAGCCTATTTGTGATATTTGTGACAAAAGTAAATATGTCACACGACAATGGAAAAGGACTGATGAATGGGTCACGTGATGTCCTTATATAGAGCAAAACTCGTAGTATGGAGAAGTTTGAGTAATACCCCAATGCTCTTTAGTTTTTACATTTATCACTTTTCGGCCATAAAAAACATACACGTAATGTTAAATGCATAGTAATATCAAAGGGTGTTGATGTATCCACTATTCATGTGTTTTGATCATGTCAACCGCTGGAAGCTGCATGCTTTTCACCCGGCGTATTACGTGTAAGTTTCATGGTGTTGATTGCAGTGTTGCTTGTACCTAGCTGTCAATCACTGTCACTGTGTGCATGGTAACACTGTAACAACTCCCATGGCTTTGCGTTTTTTGTTTTTAATATAAATTCTGTTAGCATATTTATATATGTGTAGTGTTATCATCATTTATCCCTTTACACCTTATTATTATATGTATATATATTATGTATTCACATTAATGCACATTAAATAGTGGGTAAGTATTCTGCAGGTCTTTTCATTAATGCAGGTGTTTGCAGGTATGTATTCACTGTTTATACAAGGTTTTAGGTTGACACTTCTGCACTCAGTCATTCGCATGACTGACAGCGGTGAGTGAGTGAATATTGCTTAACGCCGCATCAGCAATTTTGCAGTTATTCGCGGCGAGAAATGTCTTTTTCGTAATCAGATATCAACCAATAGAATAAAAGTGATGTTGAAAATCACTAAAATCTCAGTCATATATCACATTCAGAGGTAAAAAACTGACTGTTCAGGTAAAAATCTATATTTTATCATAGAGCTTGATTTCCTTTAAATACGCTAAAATCAAGTGATTAGAAACTGTGGTAAAAAGTTCAGATAAGGTACGAACATTATCATAAAAACGTTGCCTGACAAGTGCAAAATCAACACATTCCAGCAGAATGTGCTTCATAGTAAGAGGGCTATGGCAAGGTATACAAAAAGGTGGATCTTCACCCTTCAATAAAAACGAATGTGTATAATAACTATGGCCAATTCGGCACCGCTGTAAAACAACCTCATCATGACGATGTAAACCAAAATATGCGTGACCTCCAATCTGTGGTTTGATAGCATGAAGTTTGTTCATAGTCTTGGTATTCCAACTTTTTTGCCAATGGTCATTCACATATTGTCTGATGGAAGGTTTTAGATCAGAATAAGGGAAGTTTGTGTTTGAAATTTGTTTATTAAGAGCGGCTTTTGCCGAAGAATCTGCTTTACAGTTACCACTGATGCCAACATGACTGGGCAGCCAACAAAAAATTATATCTTTTCCAGCTACGGATAAATTGAGATGACATCTTAAAATGTCAGCTAAAAATGGATGATCCACTTTTCGATTTTTGATGGCCTGTAAACAGGACAAACTATCAGATAATATGAGAAAACTTCTTTTAGAAGACTGTTCAATATATTGCAAAGCTAATAATATAGCCTGAGCTTCTGCCGTAAAGATCGAACTTCCGTCAGTAATACGTATAGACATAGTATAATTGTTAGCAACAGCTGCAGCAGACACCTTTTCATCATCTTTTGAACCATCAGTGTAAAATACTGGTATAAGAGGAATATCGGATCTTCAGTTCATGAAATTCTTGTTGATAAAATAATTGATTAGTGTCTGACTTCTTCAGGTTCGCTAATTCTAAATTAACATCAGGTTGTATCGATTGCC